TTTTCCTTTCCTCTTTCACTTTCTTACTCACAACAAGAGCATGTTTCTTACCATCACGCATTGGGTCTACATTTTTTGCGCTCATCACAATCATGCCTTGATTAGTTAAATACTTAAGGCATTACACACTCAAATGGCATGTCAAATGAATCAAACGTCTCCTTCCTTATTTTGCTAATTATTAGAAAGAAAGATAATTGTTATATATAGTCGTCAAGAAAAAGATCACTCTCAAGCTTCATCAATCTTCATACGTCATTCTGATTTTCTTTGAAGCACATCCCTAGCTAATGATCATGTCTCGATTTTAAAAATTTCAGTCATGATGTTAGCATGTAACCATGTTTTTGCACACCTTGATCCATCTTTAATAAAAGCTAACTTTAGTTGCTATTTCTATTCAACCTTAATTGATTTTCTTCCTTATAAATCAAGGTTCTTTAGATTCAAGATTGACTATTCTATGATCGGAGGCCTGCGCTTTCATCATTTCTTAAACTTTTAATTATAACAATTGGTATTATTATAATTTAAAATTACAAATCTTCATATTCAACTCTCAATATTCATCATAACTTCCAACATTTGGTGTTATGCGGATTCTTTCACATAATATCAGATGTTTGGGGGTTTTTTACAAGCCCTATAGGTTAAAAGGAGTTAAGATACATTTATATAGTTTTGAGGGGTTATCTTGTTATGGGCATAAGAAGGGCTTTCTGAAATTTATCATAAGAATAACCATTTAATTGTAAAGAAATTAGGAATAATGCTCTCTTTTTCTAAACACTAAAAAACATAAAAGATTAAGATAAAATTATACCCAATGATTGACAAATTAATTTCTTCTTATATCACTATTACACCCCCCCCCCCCCCACCCACCCACCAATCCTTTTATTTTAGGGTTAATTACTGATAGGCCTTCTTCGCATTGCCTAGTAGTGGAAAGAACCCCTTAGTGAACTTTTTTGACTCCTTGGAGAGTCAAAAAATTAGCATTTAGGGATCTATCCGCAGGAATGGAACTGCAAGGGGGTTACTTGCCTCTGAAAAACTTTTATTTGAAGGTTAAATAAATTTCAATCTAGAGGTCTACCTGCACAGATAGAACGATAGGGGAACGCAATTGGGCAATACCGAGGGGGTATATACGAACTTATCCCCTTATTTCAACCTTTGCCAAATGGGACATGATTTATGTTTGGCAGGTCCAGCTTCTATTTCATCATACTCTAGTCCGAGCCACTCAATGGGCGAAATATTGGCCCAGCTAATTAAACGCTTTAATTTATTACTCCCCAAAAATTCTCTTATATGAGCCCACAAAAACCTAAACTATTTCATTGTCATCTGTAAAACGAAGAAATAAAAAAAAAATTGAAAAAAAAAGATTTTTATAAACTCAAAGTTTTGCCCCATTTATTTAAAAACCCACATAGTTCTATATGTTCTTATATAACCAAATTATAAAGTTTGCATACATATAAACCCAAAACATGGAATACAATATGTATAGCTACATACGATACAGTTCGTAGCTATACACTATAGATATGTAGCTATACACTCTACAATATGTGTTATATGGCATATAGTATATGTCGTTATACACTTTATTGTATGTAGCTATAAACCCTTTTTTATGTACCTATACACTTTACATTTTATACTTTAGGTTTAAACTTAAGAAAACTTTGTATTTTTAGGGTGTATAAGAATATAGAGAACCATGTATTGGCAAGTAATTAGGGCCAACATAGAGTTAATGTGGGTCTTAACTAAAGGCTAGGAACCAAATTTAATCTGAAAGCTATAGCTATTAGATATTAGCTCCAACTTCTATTTTAAACCTTATTCATGTGAGTAGAACATTGATAGTCGTGAACTGGCCACATGGCCATCTATCATTCGGGGATCTTCCAACATATGCAGAGCACGTATGTAGAAGAGGGTAAATCTTCGGATCTTAGTTTTGAGGTATAAGATGTGGAGATATATTTCAAATTAGTTCTTTGGATTTTGGTTTTTTTCCCCTAGAAACCACCTTAAAAATAGGGTAATTATACAGAAACATCTTTGCATTTACAATTTATACATAAAAGCTTTAAGTTGATTTCCATTGCCATCAACCACCTCCCAGTTAAATTTTTAGTAAAAACAAAAAGTAAGCTTAAAATTTTCAAGTTCAAGGTACGTGAATTGCGTCCTAAAAAAGACTTAAACGCCGAAAGAGTTTTGTAAGGATAATTTTGGGTTTTAGTGAAAATTTTGACTAGGAGGTAGTTGATTGCAACAAAAACCAACTTTAAAGGTGGTTCGTGTATAAAATTAAAAATGAATGGTAGTTTCTATATAATTACTCTATTTTTAAGGCGGTTTCTAGGTGTAAGACCCTTTGGATTATACTGTGGTATAGAAATAAATGTAATTTCCTATATGAAGCTTATTATTTTATGCATTCCTATAGATTTTTCCACATACAAGGAATTTGAAGGATCGATCTTGGTTAAAATGCTTATCATGGTAAAAATGGAAGGCTACCCTACCTTCTTTTGATGCCAGTGCTTGATGATAAAATAGAGCAACATCCAGACCATAAAACTTAACTGGAGTAATTGGACATGTGGAATTCAAACAAATTAAATTATAATAACAGCAACAGTGGCATATAAGCAATGACAGCAAACCGCTACCAAGAAAGTGACTCCTATAAACTATCTGCTTGGTGTCTATTATAATAAGTTCTCGCAAAGAACAGGGAAACACAGGGAGTTTCAAGCACGAAAAATAAAAGCCTAGAAGTTTATATCAAAAACAAAATGTTGCAATTTAATGTAACATGCATGTATAAGAACAAAAAAAAATCAGATTACTGCTAGATAAATCAATAGGGTTAAGTTAGCACAGACTGCATACCAGTCAGCCTCTAGTAGTGGTGGAGAAAGTTATCAGCAACGGATGTGAATGAGATCTTTGATCACTTTGAGTAAAGACCAGTTAGCCTTTTAATCATCATCATGCATTGAGATAGTAATTCATACCCTCTTCTCATTAACTGCAACATAGATATATAAAGTGTTCGGATCACTGCAGTAGCAACATGAGCAAAGGCCAGTCTAGCTTTAAATCCACACAACGGTAAGAGTCAAGAGTGACTTGTATCCGCTTGCTTCCCGTGAAATTAAGCACAATACCTGGAAGTGGAGAATTTTACTGGAGATGTGAAATAGTGATAATTGAATATTGAACATAAGGAGAGCATGAGAACCTTCAAATATTTGGAATGGCAGTGTTCAGTGTACACAATAATCCCATAACGTGCAGAGTCCTTTGTTCACCAACAATCAACAAAAGAACAAAAAATCACCCTTAAATGATGGAAATACTATGAAGATTCTTGTTTATCTTGAAGAAGCACCAGAAGGCAAGCTAATAAGACCAAAAGCTCTTCTTGGTGATCTTCTTCTACATCATGATTGTATTGAGTCTCAGATAACAAGCTACATTCTTCATTTTATTTCCTAACTCCTCAATTTTAACATAGATCTGACCGATTTTTTTTGGATGCCTTCCCTATTCAACAACAAAAAACATGAACTCTCTTTGTCACATCAATTCAACTCTCACCTCTTTCCTTCTGCACACTACCCTCCTTGAGAAACTTCCCTGTGATTGCAACTTCTTTCCATTGCTTTCTCGCATTATATACATTTGAAAGTAAACCGTGATTTCTTGCATTAGCACCATTACTAGGTTCCATCTCAAACAGGTGCACTGCTGCAACTTTAGCCAGTTTGTGATAGCCATAAATCCCGCATGAGCCAAGCAACTAATCCCAAATTGAGTAACCGGATTTTCTACAACATTCCCTTGATTAAATTCAAAGTTTATTTACAAGTCCAGTGCGATCAAGAGCATCAACCATTCAAGAAAGTGTATGATATTGGGCTTTACATCGTTAACGCCTCAAAATAAACCCGAACTTTACATGATAGCTCATAAGTAATTCATGCAATCGAGAAAGATAAAGGCCTAATCTAGCGATGATTCATCCCCATAATTGGTATTATCCAGCAATCAAAGTGTTCCATGAAACTATACTTCTAACAAGCATACTATCAAACACTCGGTGGGGAAAGCTGACATAAGCAAATTTGCAGTAAACATTGACATGAGAGATTACAGAAATTTATAACACACTTGCAGGTGAAAATTTGGTCATAACAAGAACTGAATTTACAAACTTGTACTTTTTTTTCCTGAGGGAATTAAGGCATTAGCGCAATATAATTAAAAGAAATGAAGAATAGGAGTATAAATTCGTACCTTAATCAATCTTCAATTGCGCCAAAAGCTGATGATTGTGAACAGAGCGAAGAAATTGGTAGAGATCACATCGTAATTTTTGAAGTTACAGTTTTTAAAACGTTTGCTGTTTGTTAGGGATTTTGATTAGGAATTTGAAGGGTAATACTGAGAGTTGGCCCTAGACGAATGGGCCTGATCCATGTGCCTAATCTTGGCGTAGTAAACCTTCATGTGTGCTTTTTTCTTAATAACTCGGTCTGAAATTGAAACCAAAACCGTGGGAGTCGTATTTAAACCTCCTAACTGACGCAGACATAGAAACAGGATGGTCGATCGGATATCGTTCCGACACATGCGAGCCCTGACAATAACAGGTAGATAACAAAGTTTGAATCCACAAGCCCTAATTTTCCCAGTTTAGGGAAGCAAACAATGGAGAAAAATTCTCTTGATTCGAATAATTGAAAAGGTAATTCTTAATTTACAAAAGGAACTAATATTTATAGCCAACTAATCATATCCTAACTCTAATAAAAAAGAAACTCTAATTATAAAAGGAAATAACCAAAAACAAACTCATTTTCTAATCTCTTTGCTGAGTCGACACAAGGCGTGCCGAGTAGTACCGCCTTTCGTGTTGACTGGACATGAGTCGACTAAGTATGTCGAGTAGTACTGCACTTCATGTCGACTGGCATGTGCCGACTAACAGAAATTCGAGTTGACACGAGGCGTGACGAGTAGCAGTGCTTTTCGTGTCGACTGGACATGAGCCGACTAATATGTGTCGACTAGCTCCCTTCGTGTCGACTAGGATGTGTCGACTGACAGGTGTTGACTAACACCGCCCTTCGTGTCGACTGGGGCGTGTCGTCTCGTCCTGTCGACTGGGGTCTCGGCTGGGGTCTCGTCCTGTCGACTGAGGTCTCGGCTGAATTGCTTCGCCTCGAGTCGTTATCTCGACTTGTCACCTTGAATCGTCTGTTCGTCTCGGCTGGTTTGAGTCGGAGTCGAGTCTCACCTCGTCCATCTGTTTAGTCATCTCGACTGTCGACTCGACTCGAGTTGAGATGTCGAGTCGTCGTTCGTTGATACCATCTCGGTCGTATAGATCTCCTGTATCACTCCATCCTTCTTCAAAAGAACTCGTCTCTAGTTCACATCACTTGAATACAACTCGATTGAAGGATGATAGTCTGAAATATCTGCCACGTTGAATGTCTTAGACATAAAGATCCACAACATATGCGTTGTCATTGATCTTTTTGAGAATCTTCAACGGTCCATATCTTTTCGGTTTAAGCTTGTTGTATATTCCAGCCGGCATCCTTTCCTTACGTAAGTAAACCATCACCATGTCTCGTTCATTGAACACCTTGAGTCGCCTCTTCTTGTCTGCTCACGCCTTGAACTTTGCATTAGTCTTCTCGAGCTTTGTACGTACTTCCTCCTGAACGTCGAAAGCATTCTCTACCATTGAGCTTGCTGCCGCGCTAAACTTTCTACTTGTCGGTAACTTCATCAAATCTTGGAGATGACGAGGTGCCTTCCTGTAAACAATGGAAAAAGAAGACATACATGTGGAATTATGAACAATCAAGTTGTAGGCGAATTTAGCTTGAGGTATAGCTTGATCCCACATCTTTGACTTCTCTCCACATATGCATCGAATCAAGTTTCCCAAAGTCCGATTGACCACTTCTGTTTGTCCATCCGTTTGAGGGTGTGCTGTACTAGAATACTTCAATGAAGTGTCAAATCGTCGCCATAAAGTAGTCCAAAAATTCGTCAAGAACCTAGTATCCCTATCTGAGACAATCGAACTAGAAACACTATGTAGTCAGACCACTTCTTGAAAGAACAGTCATACAATATGTGGTGCATCCGACGTCTTGCGGCATGGAATAAAGTGAGTCATCTTAGAAAATCAATCTACTACCACAAAGACTAAATCCACGCCTTTTTGTGTTCGGGAAAGTCCCAACACAAAGTCCATACTCAAATCTTTAAATTCTTTAAGCAGCGACTTCATCTTCTCTGGAATCTCAATGGGTGTCTTCACTTCCTCCTTCACCACTAAGGCAAACCTCTACTTCAACTCTTTTGACTCGGTCAGAAACTCTCCCTTTTTGCAAAGAGAAATACATTTGGAATTTTGACCTTTGGGGTTCGTTGAAGAGGGTGGAATAGGTGGTATGATGATCTTTTTATTCATCCACACAAAAGAGTATTCATTCTTCATGCCGCCATGCGTAACATCAATATCATACTGCCACATTTGTCCAAACAATACATGGCATATGTCCATACCCACAACATCACAAGCAACAAAATCACTATAAGTCTTGCCTAGTGATAGTAGTCAACTACTACAAGTTTCTGAAAATTATATTCAGTATTTTGGCTGTAACTTTCACATCTGACCTCGGAATGAGGTGATTTAAGATTTGCTGGAAAGTTGTTGAAGATACTTATAACTTTTATCTTTTGAGTTTTCCTAGATTCTAACTGTATCAGTGTGAAAAATATATAAACTCTTAACTGATCATTTTTTAGATTTCTTCTTCGTGCATGATTTGTGCATTTGCACTCATATATTCACACATATACATTGAATTGATCTCAAGTCAATACCTAGCATAATAAAGTATCAAAATATGTTATTTATCGCATATAATATATTCATTATTATTTATCACATAATTTTTAAATTTTCGGGGTTTTACATTGTGACGCCTATGGTTTCACACATGGCTGTAGTCCAAGGTAAACTCAGAGATGTCAAACATGCCATGCACCCCATACTGTGCAACAATAATTTTTACCAATCGCAGCAATATTCTCTAGTATAATAAAAAATAAAGTGCAGGTACAAATAGGCGAAAGAAAGAAAATAACTGCAACTGACATGATATAAGAAAGAATGTCTCATAAATAAATCATGTCTTAATGAACAAGTCTGGAATACATCTGTCATTATGAAATATATGAATGTATCACGCCATATATCAACTAAGAATGTATCAAGGCTCACTGTCTTTACAAAATAAGAAAAATAAAGAAAACTCTAATAACTAAATATAAGGTCTGACTACTGTGGAGTCTAATCTATAAGCTCATATGACGGTGACTATGCAAGCACTCCGTCATCATGCGACTCTCCGATGCTCTGAACCAACTAAAAGGAAAACAAAAATAAAAAAATAACAACAAAAACGTTAGAGCGCTAAAGCAAGATCACATCCACCCCCCCAAGGGGAAGGGCTACTACATGTAGTGGAGGCTCTATCTATTAAGCATAGTCTATCTAAATTATTTTTCCCATATCTAACAGAATTAATACTTAGAAATCTACAACACGAGACATAGTACGTCGAGCAAAGTAATCCAAATAAGGAAACCCTCATGTATATATTATATGTCTCAAATAGTAGATAACTAAATATTAATCCCAAACTAGAACTTAAAGCAAGAAATACTGGAAAGTAAAGCATCATAACCAACGTCAGCATATGTATCTCATGCACTCGCATAACATAATATTTTGGTTATTAATTATCTCAACAATGAGTCATGTCTCATTTGGCGTCCGCCAAATACTCGGCTATCAAGTTTTAAAAGTCACCACTTTCCTAAATATCTTAACTAATCGCACCCCGTGCAAAACAACATATAGGTATATCAACATCTGCGTATAACAATGCGGAAAAAATTGGTATCTCAACCTCTGCGCATAACCATGCGAAAACAAATAGGTATATCAATCTCTGCACATAACCATGCAGAAACAAATAGGTATATCAAACCTCTGCGCATAACCATGCAGAAACAAATAGGTATATCAACCTCTGCGCACACTCGTGCGGAAATAATAATATAGGTACACCGACCTCTGCGCACACTCTAGTGAAGATATCATAATATAGGTTCACTAATATCTACGCGCACTCTAGTACAGATACCATAATATAAGTTCACCAACCTCTGCGCACACTCTAGTACGGATACCATAATATAGGTTCATCAAACCTCAGCGCACACTAGTGCGAATACAAATGTCAAGGGAAAAGTGTACTCGAAACAATACTTAACAAAATCCCACTCTAAGGTATCAACACGTGTACTACAATACTATTCATGTATAATTATGATCACATATGTACTATCATGTAACTCGAGCCTCGAGCTCGCGTTTCAAATCTAAACAACATAATGTCAAGAAGATCAGGCTTAGTAGTCGACTACTAAGCTTACTAGTTAACTACACTGAGTCTACTCAGACTCTATAAAACATGAATCAATATTAGTAGTTGACTACACTGTACATTAGTTGACTACTCTGTAATCAGACAAATTCTGTAAAAACCAAACTGGACATTAGTAATCGACTACTACTCTTAATAGTCGACTACTAAGCAGAAACATGCACAGCTCCGTGTGCATACAACTCTTAGCAATCGTCATGTGTAAATCATACTTTAATACATTGCAAAACTAGTAATTACAAATTAAAAGAATCATCTCCATGATTATTTAAACCATTAATTCAATAATTTAGGTTTAATCTTCTCATTTATCAAGAAATTGATATAAACCCTAATTTTCTATTTGGTCAACATGAAACATGCTTGCACATTAAACTCGAAACTTATATAAATTCGTTTATTCACATTTACAGAACAATAAAATTCCAAACCTAGGGTTTTATCATACTTGATTAACATGTAAGCCCTTTATATCATAAGTTTAGGGTTTTAAGCATGATTAACACATAGAAAATCAAGTTACAAATGAAGATCTACACAAACCAATTGATCATGGTCACATTTTTATTATAAACAGCAAGATAAAACATTAGATCTAGCATTTTATTAAGGTCTATCATCGAAAACCTCATTTTTAACACATCGGGTTATAAATAAGCTGTCAAACATCGATTTAAACACTTTAAATCATTCATTAACTAAGGGTGCAGGTTTGGATGTAAGTGATCTTGCCTGAAACGTCATGTCGAGTCTATGGACACGCATGCAAGATCCCTCCTCACCCAAAAGTATGCGATCTCGCCCTCCGCTCAAAGATTCGCCTCGAATCTCCTCGAGGAACATCAACAACAAGCTCTAGGGTTTGAGGGGAGATGACGGTTGTGTTCTTTCGTGAAATATCTCAAAAATTGGGTTTAAAACATACTTATATAGTTAGGTTATCAATTGGGCTCGAAGAAAAATGAATTCGACC